CAAGCTAAGCTAAGCAAAGCACAGGGACCGCGGTTCAATCCCCAGCACCACATGCCAGCCAGCCCTGCCCCTGGTGGGCTGAGCTGGCCACACACACACATAAATATTTAAAAAAATATATTAAAAAAAAATAAATTCTATCAAATGAGATATTTTTATACACTTATTTGTACTTCCTGGCCTTTGTCTGAAAGCCAAAATCTTTTTATAGCCTTCTACGTGTTCCCTGGGGTCCAAACATTGAGTTTAATCTGGCTTTCTCCCCCCAAGGCTTTCAGGAGCACCTCTTATCAGTTTGTCCTGCTCAAGACAGCTGGCAGCTTTATGCCAAAGCTCCAGATTCTCAGGCACCAGTGAACACCAGGGCTAAACTAGTACTGTGGCCTCACGGTCTCTGACACAGACCCACAGACCCTGACAGAGAATGGGACCAGCCCTTCTGATCAAAGGCACTCATTTCTTTTATTTGTTCCTGGCTTGAATCCTGCCTGTTTTCAAAAACAATTTCACATTGCTTCTGAAAATTGAGTATCTTACTCAACTGTAGTCACATTGTGCCCAAAAGCAGCCAGTGAAAGTTCCCCTCTGCTACCAGCCTGTGTTCTCAGGAAATGAGCTTGTTCTTGTCGGCTCCAGATGCCCACCATGCAGCATGGGCCCTAGAGGCTGGTGTTTCATGCATTCTCAGTGGAGTGAATGAATGAAGGCCTTTGAGAGGCCAGAAACAACAATTACATCTCTCCTTAGCCTGGCCCTAGAAGGAAAAGAAGACGTAGCTTTGCAAACAAGTGACTTGGTGGAAGGAGGGCTGCCCATCCCAGGAACGTGCTTCTCCCTCTGTCTCTCTAGATCCCCGACGTTTGCTGGAGGCCTCTTCTCCATCTCCAAGTCCTACTTTGAGCACATCGGTACCTATGATAATCAGATGGAGATCTGGGGAGGGGAGAACGTGGAAATGTCCTTCCGGGTGAGAGAGAAGAGGGCTTTGTGGGGAATCACAGCATCCCAGGAGGCAGCCGGGGCCTTGGGGATGTTGCCTCTGAAACTGAAATGGTGACCGTTTCCTGGCATGGCTCTGTCCTGCTCCCCTCCCTGTCCATGGCCATAGGGCTCTGGCAGTTAGATTGGGTCACTTAGAAAAAACTTAGTGGACTGGGGAACAGCTACAGTTTCTCAGAGGAAAAGGATAATGGGAGGCATTAAGGACTGACCATCTGGAGATGCTTGTGCAATCTATGGGAAAGGTTAGGGTGAAGGTAGAAACAGGTCAGTAACATATCACTGTTTTTTCAACAATTGCATTCCCCTTTTGAGGCCAAAAAGCACATCCTAGGTTGCACTCGGATTGTCCCTCTAAATGCTCAACAAGCTTTTCGTCACTGTGGGACAAAGTGGTGGCCCCAATTCTGGTGGGCACTAGAACTCCAAGGGATTCTAAGAATTGGTTAAATCAGGACCAAAGGACTGTTTCTCTATGAAACCTCCACAAATCCCCATGCCAGTGGAAAAGTAATGCACACATGAGCTCAGGTATAAAGTCACCTTTCACAGTGTCATGTGCATATTCAGCATATAACTGGTATCTGCTGGTACTGTGATTATGTGCTTCTGTGTTACCATGCTATGAATGATCTATAGTTTCCAATAAAATCCAGAAGAAAGCAGGGGGAAGGGTGTCATAGGCCAGTCCACTGGCATGGAGAAGGGTCATTTGCCAGTCATCACAACTCCAGGTTTTCTGATTCTAGGTTTCCCCAGTGAGCTTGTGATCTGTTTTCACACTCCCTCCTAGGAAACTGGCATGCTAAAGGCTCAGGTGACTGGGACAAGCCACCTGGCAGTTACCTGTTCTTGCTATTTACTTATACACTGATGCTCTGATTTGGGGAACTTGAGTTTCCAGTTAGCACCTGGAGAGGCTGATAAAAATCACATCTCCAAGCCAGGTGTGGTGGTGCACACCTGTAACCCCAGCACTCAGGAGGCTGAGGCAGGAGCTCGAGGCCATCCTGGGCTAAATAATGAATTCAAGGCTGGCCTGAACTGCACAGTGAGGTCCTGTCTCAAAAATAAACAAAAACAAAAAAGTCACATTTCTAGGTCAAAAAGACAAGTCACCAGAGCTCAGAGTAGATAGATACATAGCACAAAAGCAACTTCTGTTCTCAAAAGTGGGCCGTGGGCCTCATGGCTCTTCAAATCTCCATTTGTGTAAACCAAAATCAGAAAGCCTGGGATTATGAGGTCATGGCCTGGTGGGAAGCCTAGTCACTGTCCCTTTCTCCAGGGAGAGATAACTATTTGCCTGGGTCATTGGACCTGGGCTCCAGCATCCTGGGAACAAAACAGCGGTGCTTTGGGGGAGACTGTCCTGTTCCCCTGCACCTTGCTGAAGGCCCCACCCTGTCTCCTCTTGTACTAGGTGTGGCAGTGCGGGGGCCAGCTGGAGATCATCCCCTGCTCTGTGGTAGGCCATGTGTTCCGTACCAAGAGCCCCCACACCTTCCCCAAGGGCACCAGTGTCATTGCTCGCAACCAAGTGCGCCTGGCCGAGGTGTGGATGGATGACTACAAGAAGATTTTCTACAGAAGAAATCTGCAGGCAGCAAAGATAGCCCAAGAGGTGAGAGCAGTGGTGTTGGGTTGAAAAGAAGCACAGAATCTCAGAGCTTGGCCAAGGGCCTGATGACAGAGTCCTCCCCATCTCTACCATCCAGTGCCTCACTCTACTGCTCAGGGCCCTGTGAGGTAAAGCCCATAGGAGGGCCTTGGGCATACAGATTGTGAAGGCTAGAGAGGAGCCTTGGTTGGCCTACCTTAGAGAGGAGAGAAAGGAAAAGATTCAGAGAAAAAGAAGCTCCTACAGGAGAGGTGACTCTGATAAGCTAGAATCAGGGAGCAGGATTGCTGCTTGGGGGTCTTGGGAGGTGAAGGAGCTGGTGGGGTTTGAGCGGGGGCTCCAAGCCAGTGCAGAAGGTCTGGGATCAGATGTGAGGTGGCACCTGAGCAGGAGTAAGCAGGCAAGCAATTGGAGCTTTGTGCTATCTGGCTGGATGTCAAGACTGGAATTGACCGGTAGAAGGGACTGGCTTGATTGGCAGAAATCCTTTGGTGACATTTCGGAGCGACTGCAGCTAAGGGAACAACTACACTGTCACAACTTTTCCTGGTTCTTGCACAACATCTACCCAGAGATGTTTGTTCCTGACCTGAATCCAACCTTCTATGGAGCTGTAAGTTTGAGAACCAATATGTCTACCATAATCATAGTGCCCCTGTAAAGAAGTTCAGAACCCCTACCTTACCACTGAATGGCAGTCAGTAATTAACCTTCACTCTCCATCATTTTTCATCCAGAAAGGGGATGGAGGGGCCACTTCAGGGCTTCTAGAGATAGCTAAAAATTTGGCAAAAGGAAGGCCACCCATAAAGTGGTTGTCAAATGTTGATATGCATCAGTCAGCAGGAGTGTGGCTGGGCTCCGCCCTCAGAGCATCTATTGAGGATGGGGATGGGATCTAAAAATCTGCATTTCAACCAGGTCCCAGGTGATGCTGATGGTGTGGGTGGCATACTGTGAGTGTCCTGAGTAGTTCCCCATCTTCCCCCACAGAGGGTGTCCAGGCCTGGCTTTCTTAGGCTCAGGAGCTGTGCACCTCTCTTTGCTGTTACTGTCATGTATCTGAATTAATAAACAGGAGAGCAAAAACTACAGAGGAGAAATCCTGCCCTGCAAATTCATCCCAGCTTGGGTGGCCCCATAACATAACTAGGAAACTCCCCGCTGCTATCCTCGTTCCCCTTTTACTTACATTCCGCAGATCAAGAACCTCGGCATCAATAAATGCCTGGATGTGGGTGAGAACAACCGCGGAGGGAAGCCCCTTATCATGTACTCCTGCCACGGCCTTGGCGGCAATCAGGTAGACAGCCCGTGCGTGCCAGGCAAGCAGGTCCATGAGAGGCCTGTCTCTAGGGCACCTCCTCTCCTCATGGGCTCCTTTCCTGTACCCTAAGTACTTTCCTGAAGCCTGGGGTGGAGGACACCCAGAAGAAGAGGAGGAGGAGGAGTACCATCCCCACCTCAGGAAGCACCAAGGACTGATGTCTCAGCTTGGGACAGAGAGCGAACACTGACATCAGTGCTGGTACTGCACAGTGATGGCAGGAAGCACTTATGCAGAGAAAGCCCGCTGCAGGAGCCCAGGGGCTGTGTGATATTTACAGATGGATGTGGAAAAGTTTTTCTCTCTATACAACCAGATATAGCAAAAACCGTGAAGGCAAAACAAGTTACAAAAGTCTTGGCGTGGCCCTGTCCACTTCTTTCCTCCCTTGGGGTCCGCCCGTGGTTGGCATTTTAGGGCAGGTGGCTTTGGAAGGTGGTGGACAAACTCCCCACCTGTTCCTCAGGACCTTCTCTTGACTTCCAGTACTTTGAGTATACGACCCAGAGAGACCTGCGTCACAACGTTGCTAAACAGCTGTGTCTACATGCCAGTGCCAGCACACTGGGCATGAGGACCTGTCACTTCACTGGCAAAAATAGCCAAGTGCCCAAGGACGAGGAATGGGAATTGACCCAGGTGAGTTACTTGTCCAGGAAGCTCAGAATTGAGCTGGTAATGCCTGTCTATAGTCTCACCACTTGAGAGGCCGAGGAAGGAAGATGACTGCGAGTTCAAGGCCAGCCTGGGCTACATAGCAAGTTTAAGGTGGGCCTGGACTATATGGTGAGACCCTCAAAACAAAACAAAATAGACTTAGAATCAAGAACCTGAGGCCACATTTGCCCCATCCTTGTTTTTTATGTCTTCTGCCTGAGACACGAGGGTGGATTGGAGCAAGGGAATAGCAGTGTGGGTGTGGTCGCAGCAGAGTTCTCAGGACTTGAGTATGAGTTGATGTTGGCTGGTTCCGGCTGGTGCAAACATGGAACCAGAGAGCAGGGCTCGTGTCCAGTTCTGCCGCAGCATAAGCGTTTGTTGGCCTTTTAGCATTTCTAGTAGATAATTATGTAGGGTCATTCATGGGTCCTTCCTGCCTCTGTGTGGCAGGTGCAGGATGAAGCAGTTACACATTAGCTTGGTTCATCTTCCAGGGGCTCTTTCCAAGTATGCAGGGCCCCATTCCTGCCAAGTGAAGCCCAACAAATTTGTGCCTGGCCCAAGACCCAAGTCCAAGACCTAATAAATGGCAGAGTAGGGCTCAGACCTAGGTAAATTTGACTGGAAAGCCTTTGGGTTTTCCATGGTGCCATGCTGCCTCAGGATAGGCATCACTGCCACAGGACTGAACCCACTGGAACTCCATTCCACTCAGGGAAAGAGGCTAGCCTGGAGGACACAGGAAGTATCCTCAAAATATCAAATACACAAATGGGGAGTGGGCAACAGTGGCCTCAGGTCTTTGAATTTGGCCATGAAGGAGGCTTTGAAAGCATTTTTCTATTGGCTGTGGCCTTGCTTTCTTCTACTTGTCTTCCAACCACTCAGGCTAAAGCTGGGGGTAGGGAACTGGCACCCAACACAGAGAAGCTGGGAGATGTATCTCTCAGAGTCTGCATTCCAGGGATGGAATTGGAAGTGTCCTCTTTGTGCCTGGTTGGGCCTCCTTTGTCTTGTATCGGTCCCCCCTCACCCCCAGTAACACTGTTGGAGTTCTGCAGCCCAGACTGACCCTTTACTGTGTTGTTTTTAGGATCAGCTCATCAGGAACTCAGGATCTGGTACCTGCCTGACATCCCAGGACAAAAAGCCAGCCATGGCCCCTTGCAATCCCAGTGACCCCTACCAGCTCTGGCTCTTTGTCTAGGCCCATGATCTTCCCCCGTGATCTCCTCTTCTGCCCCAAGTACTCTCAGGAAATAGGATGGCCAATGTGTGGAATCCTGGTCATCAGCCCTCTAGGCCTTCAGGATGGCTTTGTAAACCAAGTGGAGGTCAAGGCAAACCTTCTTGCCCCTTGCAACAATGAGCCCATTTTCTTCTACTCTGATAGAAGAAACTATTCAGACATGCCTAGAACTTCCTTCTGATTTTGGAACAAAGTCCTCCAGAGCAGAGGACAGGCCAAGGGCAGCAACCCTGAGGTCAAGAAGAATACCTCTGCAGCCCTGAAGTGTTAGTCAGCCAAAGCACTTGCAGTATTTAGTGAAATAGTCTGATCTAATAGAAGATGTTGAGGTCAAAGAGAGCCTCCCTCTTTAATAATACCTGGTGTGTAGAACTGACTGCAATTTACCAGAAGCACCCAGTGAGGTATCCTTTCTCTTATTTCATTTGCACAATTATGCTATGAGAAAGATCGGATGAGATCTACTGTGTCCATCCTCCAGGTAAGAGGGCAGAGGCAGAGATACAGAAGCTTGTCCACAGTTGTGTAGCTAAGTGGCTCAAGCTGATCTTGAGGCCCAGTCTCCAGCACTGAACCATGGATCGTTCCGCTGTGCCACAGAACACTAGACACCTAACCAGGTGTTTCCCAGTCCCTGTTTGCCCTTTTTTATCACTGAGGTACTGTCAGCCAGAGGAAGTTAACAAGAGTCCTGGCAAAACTGAGAAGCAGGCCAGGCATGGTGGTGCACGCCTGTAATCCCAGCACTTGAGAGGCTGAGGCAGGAGGATCGCCATGTGTTTGAAGCCAGTCTGAACTGCATAGTGAAACCCTCTCACCAAAGGGTTTAGGGGGAAGACCGAGGAAGCAGGGACACTGTGCAGTCGAGCATATCTGATCCCATCTTCTGTGTTTGTACCAAGTCCTGGTGTGAAGCGGACTGGACGTCTGTACTAGCTCTTCTCCGAGCAAGGTGAACCCTGCTGCACGTGGCTGCTTTGTCTGACAGCACACCCCTCTGAAAGCTAATGAAAATTCTGACCAGGAAGTCTTCCGACGTCAATAGCAGACTGCGGCCGCATGGAGGTGCTGTGGGACCACTTCTGCCTCCAGCTCGCACACAGCACGGCAAGCATGCATGGGAGCCGGTAGCACCCAGTGAAGGAGCCGCTCTGAGGTGCCCCAGCCAAAGGGACGGAAGAAAACGGCCAGGGAAGAGCCCGTTGGGAAAAGGAGAAAGTTCTGTCTCTAAAAGAGAAGAGTTGGACATGGGAGCCCAGTGGAAATAAAGGTTTTATGGCAGTGGGAGAGCAAGTGTGTGTTGGGCTTCTCTTCCCCTGGCCGCGCCTTAGCCGAGTCAGTCGGTTCGGGCTCGGAAATACCGCGTACGCTTGAGAAGCGCCCCCCGCCCCCGCCCCTTCCCCCAAATACCCTCTGCCCCAAGTCCGGCCTGCGGAGTGGGCATCAAGCATGTGAAGCAGGCAGGGACAGAAGATGAGGTCCTTCTGCCGCAGAACTCCTGGTCCGAATGTAGAAGGGTCGTGAAAGCCTAGAAATGTTCAAAAATGTGCTCAGTGAGCTCTAAGGAAAAATCCTTTCCACTTCTAGGGATCAGCAAAGGCCTCACGAAGGCAATGACGTTTGACCTCACTGATAGAGAAGTCAAGCACTGAACGTGGATCATCCCACTGTGCAGCCGAACACTAGGCACCTAGCCAGGAGTTTCCCACGCCCTCTTTGATAGAGAAGGTGGGAAAGACTCAGGAAGCAGAAATGTCACGCAAGCAGCTATCTATCATGAGCATAGCCACAGAGGGACAGAAACAAGTGGATCTAAAAAAGCAAGACCTCGTGGCGGAGTGGGTGTGTGGAAGCTAGAGGAGGGCTGCATTTTCACTTCGGTGGGCACTACCCCTGCTCTCCTAAAACAAAGAAAATTATATTTTGTGAGTGCACTGGTATAAAAGTGAATATAATCCAGATTCTTATGTATTTTATTCTGATCTTAAAATAATCTAAAACATTCTGTGCACCCCTTAGGCGTACTGCAGCCCAAGGCACTGTGCCACAAGGCAAGTGCCCTATGGAAGAGTGCACTGGGGCCCAAATGAAAAGGCTTTGACTCCAGTTCTAATAACTCAGGTTAGTGAGAGTCGTAATCCACGATCCTGACCTCATTCTCAGTTGCATTAAGCATCCAAACAATTTCCAAGCAAGGGCCGCTGGCTAGTTGTCCTGGGGGCTCGTCATGTCTGTAGCATCACCCAGTAGTCCCCAAGCTCAGTTATCTTGTGTCTAACCAGGATGCTGCTCCTTGTGAGGCCAAGAAGCTGCCTCACACCTGCACCAGAATAGCGTTTCCTAAGTGAGTTAAGAGTAACTAAGCTGCAAAAGTTAAATAAATAACATAAAAAGAATAACTCAGCTGGACATGGTGGTACCCTCCTCTAATCCCAGCACTCAGGACGCTGAGGCAAGAGGATCACCACAAGTTCAAGACCAGCCTAAGCTACATAGCCAGACCCTTTCTCTCTCTCAAAAAAAAAAAAAAAAAAATCAAGGCTCAGGGGTGCAGCAGGAGACAGGACCACATGCCGTGCCCAGGGGAGGCCTGGACATGAGGCCGGGGGAGTCCAAGGAAGGGAGGAGGTTAGAAGGAAGGGGGTGCTGACCAAGTGGTGGGAAAATTGAGGATGTAGGTTCTTGGCCTTCCCCCTAGCCACAGCTAAACTTGCCCTACCTCAGCACCTGCATTATTCCCTTAAACCCATCTAGCCCCCTCCCCGACCATTCTCAGCACCAACCAAGGGTCTCACCTTTTAAAACCTGCCCCCAGCTCTGTGCAACTCTCCCAGCACAATAGCACTGAAGCGCTGATCCTTTCTGGGTACTTGAAGAGTACTGGGCCCTTGCTCCAAAGAGTAAAAATATCCCATTGTTTATTATTTTTAATTACAAAAGTAATACTGTAGAGAAAAGTCAGATAATATAGAAAATAGGTTGAAAAAATCTTATCTGGGAGTGGTAGCACATGCATGTCATCCAGCACTCCGGGAGACTAAGGTACAGGATTATAAGTTTGAGCCCAGCTGGGGAGTTTAAGTAACTTAGTAAGATCCTGTCTTAAAAATTAAAGAAAGAAAGGAGACAGAGAGGGAAAGAGAAAGAAACTTATCCTCAGGATGCCCCATACCTATTGATTTATTCTCTAGAGTCTTAACTGTTTCCAGCACAGGTGTCCAGACTTTTGACTTGCCTGGTCTGCAGAACATAATTGAAAAGGAATTCTCAGGCCACATATAAAATGTATACTATAGTTTTATTGTTACTATTTTTTTGTTTTGAGACAGGGTCTTGCTATACAGTTCAGGCTGGCCTCAAACTCAAATGACCCTCCTGCCTCAGCCTCCCAAGTGCTGAGCTGTGCCACTGTGCCCAGCTTAAAATGTGTAATACAGTTAATGTATATCAAGTCCCAAAATCCCCTTGGTTTTTATATTTTGCCTTATTACTTTACAAAATAACAAATTCACATTGAATAAATAAGAAAACGCATGTCTGCTTAGTAACAATAAACACCTGTCCTCTGAGGCGCAGGTGTAGATAGGTTGACATCCTGTCAGGAATTGCTGCACTTTACTCACCAAGTGCATGTAACAGCTGCAGGAAGAGGGTCGGTGTAACTGCATGGTGGCCGCGGGAGGCAGTCAGCACTGCACTGCGCCCTCTCTGTACAGCCTTCCCCTGTCACCTGTGCAGTCCACGACTGAGCATTGTACAGTAGGCTCAAAAGCTCACAGGTGAATGTCAGTTTATAATCTTGGGAGGACACGCTACTAGCTGTCCAGGGCCACAGCTTGCTTTAGAGACCCTCCTCTGCCATCTTCTGGTGATAACACAAATACACTAATACACAGTACCATATTGTGTGGGACTTTGGTTTGTTCACTTTGGATATTTTCATGTCAGCTCATTTAAGTCTGACCTACTGTCTTTTTTTTTTATAATTTGCTCTTCATCTTGAGACAGGGTTTCACTGTGAAGTTCAGGCTGGCCTTAAACTCACTGTGTAGCTTAGGCTGGCCTCAAACTTGTGGAGATCCTCCTGACTCAACCTCCTGAGTTCTGGGATTATAAGCATGCACCACCACACATACACACAATTACTGCTTAATTTACTGTTTTAAAGCTACATAGTTATTTCACAGTAGGATTAGAACTAATTTATTCAATGTATAATTCACAGACTTGTACTTTTGTGTGTGTGTGCCTGTGTTTATTTCAAAAGAATATATGGCTAGCATTGGGATTACTTAAAGAAATATAGTGCCTGAAAATTTAAGCCAAGGCCACTATGTATGCCTAATATATAAATGAGCTTTGCAATGTGGGAGATTAGGCACCCATTGTGAGGCTTTAAATGCAGTCCTAGAGTTTGGTTTTTAAGCAAATACAGATTGGGTTTCCCTGGGTCAGGCCAAGGGTACAGAAACACGTATGAAATAGGCCCTGCCCTTATAGGTTCACAACTTGGGACTATGTGATGTCAGAGCCCTCAGCCTCCTCTTGGGTTCCTCTCCTGGGCTAACAGAGAGAGGCTGGGAAGTAGGAGGAGAAGAGAAAGGCCCTGGATCCCTCCGCCCAACTCGGGCTGCCTCTCTGAGGTCTACTTTGTCTCTGAATGCAAGAGACTGGAGAGAGAGCCCTACGGGCGACCGGGGCATGAAAGCGCAGCTCTGAGCAGCCCACGTGACCTGTGCAGAGCCCAAGTGCCCTTCCCGGGCCTCTCCCATCCCAGCAGGCATGTGGCCTGGTTTCTGCGCTGTGTGGACAGCAGAAGCCCAGGGGACCAGGGGACTTTCCGGCTTCCAGGAAGCCCCGCCCACACCCGAGTCCCCCACTTCACTCCTGCTGCACCACAGCCTCCCCCCCCGCCCCCGGGGCCTTCAGGGACGCTGACCACTGCACCTCGCGCGTGTCTCTCCTCTGCTGACCATAAGGGGCAGAGCCCTCACCTCCTGCAGGGCCTGCCTGCCCCTTGACTCCGTGCCCTGCGCCCCCAGTTCTCCTAGTCCGCAGGAAGTCATCCTGTCTGGAAGTCTCCTGTCCTGCTCCGCATTCGGTGGATCTAGGAGCGCTCTTCCTGGCCTGAGTCTCCCCACCCTGTTTCTCAGTATTTGCTCCCGCTAGATTCTCCCCAGGGGGCGTTTGCTTTACCTCTGCCTGCATGCGCACCTGTGTGCAAGGGGCAGCCCTGTCCCCAGTGTCTTCCTTTTGCTAATCGTCCTCCTCATGCTCAGTGGGACAGTGATGGATGCTGGGGGTAGAACAATCAGGTGCACCCTCCAAGGGAAAAGGGGTCTTGGTTCTCCATTTTATTTTATTATATTATTTTTGTTTGGTTGGGTTTTTTGAGACAGGCTTTCTTGCTATGTAGTTCAGGCTGGCTTTGAGCTCACTGTGTAGCTCTGACTCCCCTTGAATTTATGGTGTCCTCCTGCCTCAGCCTCCTGAGTGCTGAGATTACAGGTAAGCACCACCACCCCCAGCTTCCATTTTATTTTTGAAAAAGGGTTTGTTGGATGCTTTTCAACTGACAGCAGATAATTAACTGAGCTCCAACCTTGATCTGTCTTTGAATTACAGATAAATTAGTTGACTTAAAAAGCAATCGTTTCATTTGTACTTCCATGTCACCTGCGACTTTCCCTGCCTTCCACCCACAGCCCTGTCAGCTGGCAGGAAGAAGGTCAGCAAAGCTGCTGATAAGAGGAGGATAAAGAGGGCTTGGTTCATGGCAAGAGGGCAGCGATCTGCTTCACTGGCAACATGCTGCGCTTCCTTGTGCTCACCACCCTGGTCCTTTATGGTAAGTGGATCCTTTGGCTGAGTTCTAAAGGGAGGGAGCTTTTGCACAAGGGTCAGAGTGTCTTCCCTCAGCCTAGGCTGGCTCCCTATCCCAGGGGAGGATAGGATGCTCTGCCTGTGATTCTAGCAAAAATACTAGATACTGCCCTGGAGCATAAGATGGAAAAGATGGGGTCACCACCATCCATGCAAGGCTGTCCTGGTGAAAGATCCTAGAACCATGAAGCAGAAAGAAGCCCCTTTCTGAGGGGCCAGAGCTTCCCTACCAGCACCTTGACAGGAGGATATCCTGAGTGGCCAGCTGGATGTGCCCTGCTGTCCCTGTCCAGAGGAAAATCCTGCCAAACATCAGGGGAGGAGTTCCCTCAAATGTAGCAATCCAAGGCCCAGGGGCCTCTGGGGCCCCCAGCTGTTGATTCCAGATAGGTCCTTCCTACCAAGCCCCAGTTCCAGGCCACCTGAGAAAAGCTACTCAGGTGCCCCGGCTTTCAGAAGGGGCTCAGAGAACTCACAGCAGGGCCCCTCGGTTGTCAGAGAAGAGCTGTGAATTTGCAGACAGGGCTAGCATTCCTCAAAACACAGTAGCCCTCCCCCACCCCACGCAGAGCTGCCCCCGTGCTGAGTCATCACCCACTTTTCTTCTGCTCCACAAAGGACACAGCACCCAGGACATTCCAGAAACAAATGCTCGAGTAGTTGGAGGGACTGAGGCCCAGAAGAATTCCTGGCCCTCTCAGGTGGGTGTTTCTTCACAGCCCAGACTTGCAACTGAATGCGTGTTGCTAGGCACCTACAACAAGTGTTATGTACGCTTGTGTGTATTCTCAACCCGCAGCTTGCCAACTGTCTAGATCGCAGGTTTTAAAGATGGATGGGACCAGGCTTAGTTGGGTTCTAAAATGTAAAAGCTTGGCAGCAGGGACTTAACAGCAACCGACCTCCCAAGCATATCCCCAAACACAGACTACCTCTATAGTACCCACCACATTGCTTGTGCCGTGCTGCAAGACCACGTGCCAGGCCCATACATGTACTCCATCCAGCCCACTTCACACACGCGCGCGCGCGCGCACACACACACACACACACACACACAGAGCAGTCACTTCTTTGGGTAAAATGCTTCCGTTTTTGTAACAGGGTGGCTGGGCCCTGCTTTAAGCTAATCTACATGTGTAAAACTGGCCACTTAACAGGTGAATAGCCACACTTGGAAAGAAATCAATGCAATTGCAATTAGATTGAAGTCACCACAATTTGAGCCCTGTTTTTCAGTGGAGCTATTGTAAAATGTGAGGAAAACCCAACTGATGGAAATGAACATTCCATTGTGTTTCTGAGTATTCCCTCAATGGGGTGGGGACAGTGTTTTTGAGAACGCTAAAAGGATACTTTTCCAAGAAGAAGCCATGATAAAAGGACCTGGGTTCTGAACCAACAACCTAGAGCAAGCATGTGAAATACACTCCATGGGTGCCTTTATTCCCCCATCCACGGACACAGCAAACATCCCCCAACAATGGCGCTTTCTTGTAAGCTGACCCCAGAGGCATTGACACTGGGTAGCCACTACCAACCAATCTATAGCAATTGGCAAGTCAAATGAACCCTATTTGCTATCCTTAGCTGAGAAGGTTGGAGAATGTTTTGAGGGATATCAGGAATTTTCCTGTGAGGCAGAGCCTTTTGAGAAACACCGACCTATCCCTCCTTTCTTTCCTTGCCACCCAGATTTCCCTCCAGTACTCGTCTCTAAATTCCTGGCATCACACCTGTGGAGGGACCCTCATCAAACAGAACTGGGTGTTGACAGCTGCTCACTGTGTAGACAGGTGAGAAAATGAGCCCCTGAGAGGGAGGATGCTGAATTTTCAGAAGGAATGTCTAATATGGGGCCAGGAGGTGGCTCAGTAGAATAAGCGCTTCCCTGGCAAGTGCAAGGGCCTCAATTCAATCCCTGGTTCTGGAAAAAAAAAAAAAAAAAGAACAGCGGGCCACTGGCCAACCCACCTGTGCTTGGAAATCGTTGTAACAAGGAGACAGTTTGGAAGAAAGTACAAGTTATGGAGTCAGGCTCGGGCTTCCAGCTTGCCTCACCATCTTCTACCTAGTAACCTTGAGCAACTGATTTAGCTTCTCTCTTCTCTCATTCCCTTATCTCTAAAATGGGATGATAATACCTACGTGGTAGAGTTGTGAGGATTATTTCAGTGCCTCGTCAACACAGGACTGGAAACTATGTTTTCGCTTTTGTCATGGGCAATAGTTCTCAAATTTGAGATGTATGAGAATCGCATGGAAGGTACAGATGGCTGAGCACCACCAGGCAGAATTTCTGATTTGAGAAGTCCACAGTGAGGCCTGACAATAGGCATTTCCTTTTTGCTTGTTTGTGATTTCAGGATTAAACCCAGGGGCTTTGCCTGGCAAGCTCACGGGCCCAAGTTCAATTCCTAGTTCCATAAAAAAAATAAAGAAATAAAAAATAATACACCCGGGGGCTTCACACTGAGCTACATACCCAGAAGTTCTTATATTTTATTTGAAGACAGGGCCTCACTAAAGTCACTAAGTTGCTTGTGTAGAGCTCAAACTTATGACATCCCTGCCTCAGCCTCCCAGAGTGCTAGGATTGCAGGCAAGTGCCACCTGGCTCTGACGATAGGCATTTCGCTCAAGTCTCTGGGTGACTGCTCGTGCTTGTGGACCTGGGCCACACTTTAAGAATTACCAGTCCATGCCACACATGATGGCTGGTGAATCCTATAATCCCAGCACTGAGGTGGCTGAGACTGTGAGTTTGGGGCCAGCCTGGGCTACACAGTCAGTTTAAGGTCAGCCCAAACTGCATAGGAAGATGCTGTATCAAAAACAAAACAGAGGAGCCAGGAGAGATAGCTCAGTAGAATAAGCGCTTGCCTGATAAGCGCAAGGGCCTGAGTTCAATCCCTGGTTCCACTAAAAACAAAAAAAACCAACAGGGCCAGGGAGATAGCTCAGTAGAATAAGCACTTGCCTGGCAAGAACAAGGTCCTGAGTTCAATCCCCAGTACTGCAAACAAACAAACACGTCTAGACTTCCCTCGAATTGCCTTGTGGCTCTTAGCCGTTCTTTCACTCTTGCTTACCACACGCGTCCCAGAGTATGAGGTGCAGAAGTGAAGCCCATAGTGCTGTTCTGTCTCACAAGTCAGTAAGTCAGAGAATGGGGGCTTTGTTCCTTATTTGTCTTTGAGGTGCTTTGATCCTCCTCTGCCTGAAACAGATCATAAGGAGTCCCCTCCTATGGATAAGATACGATGGCTTGCCAACCTTTCTCTAAGGGGACAAGAGAGTTCCCTGGGTCACTCAGGGCTTCCTTCTCTCACTCCAGTTCCAGGACCTACCGTGTGGTTGTCGGAGAACACAACCTGAAGCAGACCGATGGCTCCGAGCAGTACGTGAATGTGCAGAAGATTGTGGTACACTCCAAGTGGAACAGAAATAACGTGGCTGCTGGGTGAGCCTAGGCTCGGGCTGTCCTGGGCAGGGAGGAGAAGAGTCTTGGTGTCCATCACATCTTCTGCCAGAGGGTTGCAGGGTCTGAAACTTGGTCTGTGGTTCATAACTGGACCTTTGCATGAGGAGCCAGTTGAGCCCTAGAGAGAACATTGTGTCTCACTGAGAAGCAATGTGTAGGCTCATTCATCCAGTGGACTTGGAGAACTGGGATTGGGGAGGGCTTCAGAATTGGAGAAGATCTAGGGCTGGGAGATGGCTCAGTGGAATAAGTGCTTCCCTGGCAAGCACAAGGGTCTGAGTTCGATCCCTGCTTCGGGGGGTAGGAGGGGAAGGATTTTAGAAGCTCTTCAGGATTTGCTTGATGGAAGAGAGTTTGCATTATTTGGTTGCCTGAAGTCTCCTCTGTATAGATCTTAATGTTGCTTTTTCACTTTTGATGTTAAGTGTAATTCATTGTATAGAACAGACTCAGCAGTAGAAGAAAATTTCCTTCGTTCTTTGTGCTAGAGATTGAACCAAGGACCTAGTAGACACTAGGCAAGGGCTCTCCCACTGAGCTACACCTCCAGCTCAGAAAGAAATTTCCTAAAGTGAGTCTTATACAGGAGAACTGCAAGAGTGAGTTACAGACTTCTGGAAAGGAAATCATTAAGCGATGGCTAGGGCTGAGGTGGGGTTTTAGCTCCGTAGCAGAGTGCTTGCCTAGTATGTGAGAAACCCTGGATTTGACACCCCCAACCCCAGCACTGCCAAAGAAAAGAAAAAAGACAGGGGTTTGTGCTAAACATCATGGGGATAGAGTTCAAATGACTCAGGGACTTCTGCAGAACTTTCAAAGCCACACAATATTTCATGTCTTTCTTCTTTGAGAACATTGCCACCAACACGCCAGCACCTGCTCTTCGCTGACTGCTTGCCCCTTCCCTGGTTTGCGGACCTCGGCTCTAGCCTGCAATGCTGCCCTTTCACCAGCAGGTGCTGCTGTTAAACACACAATCTCTGCAGCTCACCGGCTCAGCAAGCTATCCGCCTCATTCAAATTTCCTTTTCAACCCCCTGGGGACACAAAGGCTCAGTGACCTTAGTGCAGGTGCTGACCTGAGGTAAGGGTTGAGTCCAGAGTGAGTTCTCTCTTCCTGCAGCTACGACATCGCCCTGCTGCGCCTGGCCAAGTCAGTTACCCTCAACAGCTCTGTGAAGCTCGGTGTTCTGCCTCAGGAGGGAGTCATCCTGGCTAACGACACTCCCTGCTACATAACAGGCTGGGGCCTGACCAAGAGTAAGTCACCTATGTGGACACCCCTGGGCTCTTGATTGGTAGCTGAGCTACTAGGGCATGTTTTTCTGTGGCAGTAAGTACTTAACACAAGAGACCATTAATCTAAGGTAAAATAGCTGATGGGTGAAGCCAAGCTAAATGGAATAGCTGAGTCAGAGAATCAGACTCTTGGAACTAAAAATGTTCTTAGCAAGGAGTGGTTATTATGGGGGACAGGCATCCTGGGGAATGAACCTGAGGTCTTTGTGCTGAGTGATATTGCCAGGACTTATTCTTATTATTATTATTTTAATTGTGAGACGGGATTTTACCAAGTTGCCCAGGCTGGGCTTCAATCTGTGATATTCTTTCCTCAACCTCCCATAATGCTGGAATTACAGACATGTGTTACCACATCTAGACCAAAGAGTCTTTTGTATCAGTTCTCATTTTGTACATGAGGAAAATGAGAACCAAAGAAATTGAAGGTCAAGATCATGTGACTAATTAATGCTTAATTAGGGCCAGAACCTAGATGTTCTGCCTCTCACTTTGGTGCATAGCAAGACCTTGTCTTGAAAGAAACAGAAGAAGAAAAAGAAAAGAAAAGAAAAAAGAAAAGAAAAGAAAAGAAAAGAAAAGAAAGGTGGGAGGGCTGTGGGACAGAGAGGAAGGACAGAAATATTCAGCTCAGCACAGAAGACTGGTAGCTGCCAGGCAGCAGCTGGGTTTCTGGAGGGCAGGCCCAGCCTTGCTGTGCGCAGCTGGTCTGCTGGAAAAACCTGGAGCTGAGAGACACCCTCCTAATTTTTGGCTCTGCTCTCAGTTCATTTAATGTCATTGTGGTTCAATTTCTTGACCTATGACATGAAAGGGTTACTGTAATTTAAAAAAGATATATATGCAAAGGCTTTGAAAAGTCAAAAGAGCTAAGGCAAGAAAGCTGAACCAAGTTCTTATAAAATGGAAACAGGTAGGCCCATCCTAGTTCTGCTTGTGAGGCCCAGAGTGTAAGGAGCAGAACACAGAGGAGTTTTAAGCCAGGAAGATCTTTCTCATTACTTACCTAAGTTATCCACAAGTGAAAAGGGCAGGGTGGGACGGTTGGCTGAGAACACTAAGAAGCCTGTAGTTGCCATATAAAGAGAGAGAAGAGGACCTGAGACATACCACAGAGGGAAGGAGTTTGCCCTGAGCTTGGGAAGGTTTGGCCGGTGTGAAAGGATTTTTCCCTGGACAGAATCAGGGCTGACTTCCACTGTGTGTCCTGTTCAGCCAATGGTCAGGTGTCCAACACCCTGCAGCAGGCTTACCTGCCCAGCGTGAGCTACGCCATCTGCTCCAGTTCTTCCTACTGGGGCTCCACTGTGAAGAACACTATGGTGTGTGCCGGCGGAGACGGAGTTCGCTCTGGATGCCAGGTGAACACATGTGGAAGGGTCGGAAATCCCGTCCCATCCCTTTGCTCTGTGCCTTTGACCCTCCCTCCACCCTTTGCTCTCTCCCTTTTCATACCTACTCTTGTACCTATGTACTGACTCAGCTTTCTATTTTTGCAGCTGAGAATGATTCTGTGTTAGTAACTCTGTATTCATGGAATCTCCAAGTTGAAGAGAGCCTCAAAATTTGCCTTGCTCAATGCCCCCACCTCAGAAGCTTGTGGGTGGCCCAATATTTGTGTGCTGGCTCATGTATGTGTTCTTTAGATGTTCGTGACCCAGATTTGGGGCTGGGTCTCAAAGGGTGGCTGTAATTGTGTGTAAGGTAGATCCCAAGCCCATCTTTTTCTTGTACGTCATCCATTACCACTTTTTACCCCATTATTTATAGGATTGGATACAGGTGAATAGTATGGAAAAATACACAAAGCAACTTTATATTGGTTTTTATATAATAGAGACAATTCTTTACTTATTTTTTTGACAATTATTTACTTAGACAAGATCAAGTAGCAATAAACCATATTAAAGATTTTCATCCAGGCATGGTAGTATACACCTGTAATCCCAGCACTTGGGAGGCTGAGGCAGAGGTAACACTGGGAGTTTGAGGCCAACCTGGGCTACAAATGAGTTCAAGGCCAGCCTAAACTGCATGATGAGACCCTGTCTCAAAAAGGAAAGAAAGAGTTTCTAATGAAGTTCAACAAATGTTCAATGTGTATCTACTATATATCAGGAACTGTGTTAAGGACACAAAGAGGAATCAATGTCAGTGTGCGCCTCTGCTCTTCCACTTGACATTGTTTGGTTTCTCTTGCGTCACTAATATGGTACCTGGCGTATAGGGGAGGGGCTGAGGAGCAGACACGCTCTATGTCGTAATGCAGTGTGGCTAAGTATTACAGTAAAGACATGTATAGACTGGTGTGGAAGCTCAGGGACAGGTACCACTTCTATTTGCTAAAGACAGGAAAGACTTGTCTTTCCTAGGAAAGTAAAACCTACAGCAAGTTCTGAGGGTTCAATAGAAGTAAACCAGGTAAAAAAGGGAAAAGACATTCAAAGAAAGGAAAAAGCATGAGTAAAAACATCAGGTCAAGAAACAATATTCCTGGGGCCAGGGAGATGGCTCAGTAGAATAAGCACTTGCCTGGCAAGCGCAAGGGCCAGAGTTCAATCTCTGGTTCTGCCATAAAAAGAAAAAAGAGAAAAAGAAACAACATTCCCACTGCTAGAATGGAGCAGAGGCTGGAGGTCCATGGGCTAAATACAGCTGCTGCCTATTATTGTATAGCGCACATGTTAAAAATAGTTATTACATTTTCAAATGGCTAGGGGAAAAAATCAAAAGAATATTTAAGGACACATGAAAAATACAAGTTCGCAGCATTTATAAGTGACATCAATCAGGTCATAACCACAGTTGTTCATTTACTTACTCTTTTTTTTGAGACAGGATCTTGCTGTGTAGTTCAGACTGACTTTGAACTTACTATATAGCCCACACTAGCCTCAAACTTCACAGCAATCCTCCTGCCTCAGCCTCCTGAATACTGAGACCAGTGTGTGCCCCCATGCCAGGCCCCTTATTTATTTTTTTTGGTTTTTTTTTTTAATTTTTTATTTTATTTTGGTGGAACCAGGGATTGAACTCAGGCCCTTGAACTTGCCAGTGAAGCGTTTATTCCACTGAGCCATCTCCCTGGCCACCCTTATCTATTTTTTATGGCTGTTTTTGTACTATAATACAGAAGTTCCTAAAGAGACAGTATGGTCTGCAAAGCCTAATCTAGTTACTATTTAGCCTTTCCATAGAAAGTTTGCTAACCTCTAGGTTAGAAGATAAGCTATTACTTTACTAAGCGTTGTCAGGAAACTGGAGAGGCTCCTGTGACTTAACAGTTCAAATTCTATGCTTAAGAATCTGTCCTTGGTGCTGGAGAGATGGCTCAGTGGAATAAGCCCTTCCCTGGCAAGCGCAAGGGTCTGAGTTCAATCCCTGGTTCCACAAAAAAAAAAAAAAAAAAAGAAGAAGAAGAAGAATCTGTCCTTAAGGACTGGCCAGATAGCTCAGTGTACTAAAGCATGTGCTTAGGTAGTTAGGCAGAGGGTAGGGACCTGGGTTTGATCCCCATAGTGCAGTGCTGGCCCTGCTCCTGGGGCACACTGAGATGGCAACTAAGACTGGGCGTGGTGGCACACACCTGTAATCCCAGCTCTTGGGAGGCTGAAAACAGGAGGATCACTATGAGTGGGATGTATGGAGTGAGACCCTGTAGATCCTGTACTAAAATACATTTTAAAAAATCTGTCCTTTATCTCCTAAACACTGGAAAATCATAGAAGACTTGTAAACAACACAGCACCATGAGATGTGTCTTCTAGAAGTGTTCCCCGGTGATGACATAGGAGTGGTTTTTTAGAAGGGAAAGAAAGGCAGGGCGACAAGCTAAGGAGCTATTGCAATGATCTAGGCAGGAAATTTGAGGGACTGAATTTGGGCAATGGTGACAGGAATGGAGAGGAGGGAGGAAATGGAAAAGAGAGAGGAAATGAGGAGGATCTGGGATGATTTCCTGGTATTGGGCTTAAGTGATCTGAGGGTATGGAATTAGTGCCTCAAACAAGAAAAGATGGAAAAGATTTGTACATCCAGGTACAACCAGTACTTCCCTCTGCCAAAAAAAAAAGGTTGTGGAATAAGAGAACACTAGATTAGGGAAGAACTAGAAAGGAAAGCATAGACACTTGAAGGTCTTAGAGGTATTCTGAAGAAAAAGAACCAACCAGCGAGTAAGAAAGGGCCAGGAGTGAGAAGTAAAAAGCAATAAAGATTCACAGGTGTAGTATGCAATGCAGCCAAGAACCACAGTGGGAAAGAAGATGGCTACTTTGTACCTGTTGGACACTGTTGTTCATGGAAAGAGTCATTTTAGTGGGGTGGTGAAGACAGAAACTAGAATGAACAATGAAGGATAAACATGCAGTAAGATATATAGCAGGGGAAAGAGAAATACAGCAGGAAATGTAGATTACTCTCCCAAAAATCTTGGATGAAAAAGAGGAACAGAAAAGATCTGGTAGCTTTAAGAATAGCTAATCATGGAGGAGGTGAATGTTTAAAAAGGGAAGAAAACTGAGTGCATTAACAGGCAGAGAGGAGAGTATCTGGTACAACAGAAGAAAAGGAAGAGATGGAACCGGCAGCACTGACTTTGGCCAGGAAGGGGGATCCCCGACAGGCTTCTGGACATGAGTCTTCCGGGTGGGTGGCTGGAAGTTGGCAGATGTTTTGAATTGTTGCTTCTGGTCATTCATGAATTAGGAAGGTCCAGTTTGGCTGCAGAAAATGAAGGTGGAAAGGTTGTATAAGTTTGGGATTGTTAAGGAGAATGGGAGGATTGTCTGGCACGGTATTGAGTTTGGAGACGAGGCAATGACCGCGTGAGTGTGTGCTTCATGCCATCTTACTCAGATGCCAGCTGTAAGGAATGGATTAATCCAAGGCTGGGTTTTCCTGCAAGATGACAGCAATAGGACATGACTGCATGTCAACCGCAAAGTTCAAGCTATGCAGAGGGGAAGAGAAGTCGTTAGCAGGAGGCTGACAGGCTGGTTGAAGTAGTGGAATGAAAGAATTAAAAGGATTTTGTGAATCCAAAGAACTATAAAAATAAGACAACCAACACATCCCAGGTTTCCTGGGACTCTCCTTTGTTAAAACTTAAAAATCCAGGGGTGGGGGAGACTTGCTCGCCACGCAACAACTTCTAGGCCTTCATCAGCCAGCCAGCCAGCCAGCCCCACATAGAAGGGGCAGCCTTCTGAGTTAATTCCCATCCTTCTACTCCATCACAACCTTCAGTTTTTTTTTTTCTTTCTTTCTTTCTTTTTTTTAACTGAACAGCAATAATGACTTTTTTTTTTTTTT